ATATATATATACTATAGAGTAAGACAAGTGCTGGAAATCTTAATTGCTCAAAAAGAATGAGTAAGTCATTGAACTAAAATAATTTATGACGAAAAAAATTTATGACGATGAAAAAAAAGAAATTTCCAAAAAATAAAAAATGGGATAAAATTTTTTAAGATGACGTCAATCCTTAAAGTATACTCCAAGGCCGTAATGAGAAGAAATATGGAGAGGGAATAGGCTGCAAATGGAAGGAAGAGATGGATAGAATCTTGCACACAACTCAATCAATCTTGACTTTTGCTAATCTAATCTTTGGCTTGAAAAATTTCAGAGCATAGCTTACCTCCAGAAGCACCTTTTCCTTCTAGCGCATCAGCCCAAATAAGAACGGCAATTCCGACAAGACATATTCCAACACCGATTATATGTGTCAAGAGGTAGCGTGTGGAAAGAAATAACCATGATAATAGTAATACCATCGGTATTGTTGAGCAATCCAATAACTGCAATATCTTTTTAAAATTGTAAAAATGCATAAAATATTGGCTTCTTGTATTTTAAAATATATTATCTTCTTCTCCATAAAAGATAATAACGAAAAAAAAAACTTCGAGCTTTGATTGGAAGCATTACTGAAAGTGTTGTATGATCATCCATACTACTTGAGAAAAACGATACGGTAAAATAATCCAAAATTATTTGCTATTTTTTATTTTTGAATAACATTTATTCAAAAAGACTAAATAACTGAATTTAATAGGAATTACCTGTATACTAGTCAAATTAGTAAATTGATAAGCGTAAACAATGATATAGTTTGCTTCAACATCTACAATAGCCAATAGCAAATAACGCCATCCACGCTTCCTGAGCACTGGTAAAAATGCATTCTCTCCCTTTCGGAATACCAACATTGTCCCATAAATAAATGATAACAGGAAATAGTTAAGAAAACTCTGAGCTAAAATTCAATTTTTAGCAATGTATAAAGATGCTTAGAAATAAAAATTTGCTTGTACAATTTTCTATTTGTTTTACTTCCAATTCTATCTTTCAAAACAACAACCAATAGCAAATAGCATTAGATAAATTAAAATATTTATTTTCAACTTAAGGCTTACTTGTAATGCCTATTTCTAAGTGTTATTTTTCGAAATATGCTAAATCAAGATAAACTTAGATAACATATAATAAATTGAAATATTATCAGCAATTTCATTTTTGATAATAAATCTAACTCTATTTCCATAATATGCTTTTTTTTTTCATAAAACTAATCATTTCTATAGTCTCAGAGATTATATTCGATATGTGATTAATAGCTACAAAAATTTTGCGTAGTTTATCCTTGTTTAAAAGTTTGTTAAACTTTATTCATCAATGGTACCTGTTGGTGTATTCACTCCTCTATTACTAAGTAACTGACTGCTAACACCTGTACCACATAAGCACAGTGACAAAATTTGTCCATAAACAATATTTCGAAATGTCCGTCTAAAATATATTATCATTGTTGTAAAAACATTATCAATGAATTTATCCTATGAAAATGATATGAGCATATAGATACTTTGAAACTTTTAAAACAACAAATGTGAAGAGAGTGGAAGGAAAAATAAACCTGAGGATATCATTCCTGCAACACGGTGAACAATCAATTCCCTCCTCTTCCTGATAGGATGCTATTGCACCCAACTGTACAGGTGTTTTTAACGAGATATTCGTTTGCTGTATTGGCAATTCCGTATGTGGCAAATCACTACTAGCCATTGGTAACACACCATTTGCTGGTGAAGTTTTGTTAACAATTACTTCTGGTGTCAAAGGTTGTTGTGATGACATGGTTGTATAATAATTCCTAAAAAAAAATGCTTTGTTAGAAAACTATAGCAATTTTATAATACAAATAATCTGTTGAAAGTATATCAAAGTATTTTCGGTATCGTAAAAATCTACACTACAAAGATTGCCTTTTTTTTGTAATATAAACAGTATAGATTTCTATTTATAATACAAAAATACTTCGAATTTATTTAATATTTTTATCACAATTATTGTTCACTTACCTCTTTTTGTTTTCAAAGGGCTATAAATAATGCGCTTTGTTTTGTTAAATGATTGTGTAAAATGTTAACTTAATTCTTTGTTCATTTGTTTTCAAAAAGATTACACATACTGCTCTCAAAGTGAATATTATTATCAATATCCCAAGAAGACAACTATCCAGTATTATTAGCAATAATAATGATCGAGAATTTATTCGTAATATTCTCTGGTAATTATTATTCTGTATAAAAAATAAATCCTTCGTCAAAAATCAACTATTCGTTACAACTGTTCGTCCGTACCAAAAAAAGTAAAAAAAAAAATTTCATTTAAAATAATTTGGAAATGATTAAACTAACTAATACAATACCAATAGCAAACTGAGGAATAACATTGAGAAATAGCAATAAATTCAATAATAATTTAAACGGCTTTTTAGAATAATTTGACTTTTATCTTGAAATATTTTTCAAGAAACTAGTTTTAGTTTTTCAAATATCTCTCCGGAAAACGTGTCGTTCCACTGTTTTAAGTCATAAAGTTTGGTTAATATCCGAAAGGCAGCATTAATATGATTTCATCTACGCTTAATTTGCATATTCACCCAGTGATTTGCATAATAATGCATGTACATACTAACTTTACATTTTTACTAATCTTTAATCTCTCATTTTTCCTGCAAACAAATACAATTTAGAAAATTTTCCTGTAACATTCCATAAAATGTAAAATTAAAAATCATAGTTTTGATCATAAAATATGCAAGAAAGCAGTTGTGCTTTTCGTGATAATAAATAAAGGTCATTTTTCTTATTTGATTGAAAAAAAACAAAAAGGTTGAAGCAGACTAAATGCCAATTATCAGCTTCTTTTAGCGGTTATTGAAGGTCATGTTTACCTTTACATTGGCAATTAAAAAAAAGATTATAATGAATTTAATATCGCTTATGATTGAGTGATTTAAATGTAGAAATTTATTTAGATTTATTAACTATGATAGTAATTTCATTTTTAGCATTGTTTACTCTTTTTAATTCTTTTTCATTTTCTTATTTGATTGGAATGAAATAAAAAAAACTTTCACCGATTCGTAAACATTTAATACATTATTCAAGCATAGCAACAGCAACAATTTATTCTGAAAGTAAAAAGCTGCCATAAAGCATAGCACAGACATCCTCTAACCTCTAACCTTTTGTCCTCTCCCTTTTCTCTCTCTTTTTACAGCCAGCATACACTTTTCAAACGATTTCTTTGAAGATATCTTTCATAAATTTTTGCAAAAAATTGAAGCTGAAACTTAAAATTTAACACATAAGTTCAAAAAGATATATTTTGTGTTGAACAAAAATTTGAAAAAAGTCTTAATTGAAAAAAAAATTTTGAAATGTAAATATGTTTTGCTCTAAGCTGATAGTAATATCTCAGAAAATGAAAAAAACGTCAAAGGAAAGAAGACGAACTTATAAACTACTTGAAAATTATAAAAGTACGCAAATTTGAAGTTGAAAATATTGAAGTCATAATTAGAGTTCACTTATTACAATCATATTAAACAAGTCTAAAGAGAGAGAGAGAGAGAGAGAGAGAGAGAGAGAGAGAGANAGAGAGAGAGAGAGAGAGAGAGAGAGAGAGAGAAAGCGTGAAGTTAAAGCTAACATTGGAAGAAAAATATTAAAAGAAATCATTAAATATTACTTCGCTGACATGTTTTCAATTTCTTTTTCAAGTAACAAAAAAAGAAAAAAAAATTAGTCAGGAAAAGATACTTACTTATTTCATGAAGAGATATTCTTGATATTCATTTATTTCATAATTGATCCTATCCGATTATAATAGCAATTAATAGTGATTTCATTTGATAAATTATGTACGCTCTATGATTATCATAATTGCTTTAAAACTATCGTTATCAGTGATAAGTTTCGTGTAAAAAGATAAAAATTAGATCGCAATAATAAGTTCCGTTTGATTATTTAATTTGTAATTTAAAATTTCTTAAAAATTTGGAACTATGTGATATTTGGAAACTGGCTTTTCATTTTTTTTCATTTTTGATCAGCTTTTTATCAAATATTTCTATCGCGTTAAAATTCAATCTATCCGCATATAGTAGTTGGCTCTCATTGATTAAATTTTTTGAAATTGAAAAATTTTACAAATTACAAAAAGGAACACTTTTGAATTATTTTAGTCAAATAAATTAGAAAATAATAAAATTCATGAAACCAAGCTCACACCTATGCTTTAGACAATTAGCGCCGATAATAGGCCTTCGTTCTGGCAAATGGCACTCGATAATGGATGTCGAATCAAGATTTGAAGGTTCTGGAATTAAACCACGTTTATGAGCGTGCCAAGCGGCAATTGAACGTGATTGATACTGATCACTTTGTGATGATGATGAAGTAACCGGCAATTGCCAGTTACAATATTCTGGCCGCTCGTTAGAGTAACGAATATCACAACGACGATTTTTTTCCACTGTAAATAAAATTATTATAATACTCTTTCATTATCAAACAAAAAAGCAAAAAAGAAAGTAAAAAAAATAATGATAAAAGTAAAACAATCGTTGATTATTTTAACCACTTCTATATGACATATCGAAGCGATTGTTTGTTGTTTTCATTTCATTTCATTACCCATTCAAGAATTTATTGATTTGTAGGTAATAATTAAAGTAGAAATGAATCCTAACTTTGAATCAATCATAAGAGCAAATTTACCACTAAAATAATAAATGAAGGAAATAATGCTATTCAACAAATGTATCGTTCCATTTATCACAAAAATTCTTTCTATTTAATCAACGAAATTTTACAATGTGAAATTAGAATGACAAATAAATTCTTCTCAAATTAAATGTTATGTAAGAGAAATATTTTTTTTTTTTGAAGAATAAAAGGCAAATGATATATAAATAATTTTTTCAATTAGAATTTGCACACTTTTATGAACGAAAAATGAATAAAAGAAAGAGATAAAAATTGCGGCCAATTTTTTTTATTTTATTTCAATTCCTCCGCCTTTTCTTCTTTTCTATTTTTCAATAAATCACAAAAAGGAAAAAAAATTTATTGAACAAATGATTTCATGAATTTGTCCAAACTTCTGGAACGATTCCAGGAAAGGAAGACTTGAAATAACTAATAGAACATTTAATTATTTGTTGAAGATGTCTGAAAACTGATTTACTAAGAATTGCTAAATTATTTCTTCTGTAATTTATGTTACAATAAAGAAAAATAAGTGTAATTAATTAAGAGTAAAATTTACGCTATTCTGCATTTCATAATTATCATATAAAAAAAAGTATATGTTGCAGAGATGTAAAAGATAAAAAACATTACGATGAAAATTTTTTATAAAATTTGGAAAAATATACATTATGATGATGGTAATTTGCTAAGAAAAAATGGAAATGCTTATGTTTAATTGCATAAACGAAGATCGCACTCAATTAGAAATGTTAACATATTTCCCAGTTTTGACCTTAATCATGTATTTGTTCAAACTCACAGCATATTAACTATTTTAAATTCTTTAAAGGTCATTATTATTATCATTTTTCCTTGTAATAATATCACTTTATCCCGAATGAATAAAAACTCATCACATAAAATCATCATCGTTTGTGCAACATTTGAATATTTTTAAGTATAAATTGCTGTCTTATTTTCTTGATTTTCTTCACCGGTCGCAGAGAGAGGGAAAAAATAAAAAATAACAGAATTAGTTTCAGCAGAGAAGATAAAGTTATAAAATAAGATAGAGAATGATAACGAAATAAAAGTACAATGATCTCAGATCAGCCAAAAAATAATGATACGTTAGAAATTGATTTTTTTTTGTTTTTCATGAATTTCTTTGATACTTATGATTTAACATCATGATAATCTTTTTTATTAACCATAACTTAACATAATGATTGTTAAATTTTTTACATAGTTAATATTTTGCTAATAAATTACTTTTATAAGCAAAAGATTCACTTCATTAATTATTTAATAAGATTAACAAAAAAAATTGGGCTAAAAGAACAAAGAGGAATGAAATTTTAGACTTAATTAATATTTTGCTAATAAAATCAATTTATTAGCAAAATATTAATTAGATACAAAAAAAGAGCAAAATATAAGACTTTCGCGCCAAATTTTTTGACTTTGAAAAATAATCAATAGCTGTTATTTTCAAGATTGGTAAACAGTATGAGTCAATGTAAAACATAAGAATATGGTGTATTAATCGATTGACGAATTTTTTTTGATATGAAATTCTCCCATTAAAAAATTACCATTACAAGAATTTTCTTTAAAAATTATCAAAAAAATAAAAATAAACTGATGGAATTATCCACAAAGAAATTAATATAGAATTTCTTGGATAGAGATTTCTGAACAACTGAAAACAAATGAGACAAACAAACAAATTTTAATTTCTTTCCAGTATAATCATAGCAGCGATGAACACAATGATAAAGTTGTTTACATCGTTATTTTTGAAAATTAGATGATTCAACAGCGATAGAGTGATAATTAATTCAAAAGTTAAAAATTAATAGTAATAACCAATAAAAAAAGAATAAATATATAACAACACGCGAAGTTATTCTAAGATATTCTTAAGAAAAAATATCATACCATAGTATTAATATTGCTTCCTGCCATATTTCCTGTATTACAACTTCATTCCGTTTAATGGAAGCGAAAAACAGTAAATATAAAGTATTAAATCTTCATTCCCTCCATTTTGGACAGATATCCGATATATGTGAAAATTTTGAGAGAAAAATTGGCCGCTCCAAATCATTAAAGCTAATGTTGTAAATTTTATTTTCGCACATAAAATTGTCCACTTTAAACTAAATTAATTTAAATCAATGATGATTGTAATAAAAAAGAAATTTCTATTTTTACGATGATATTCCCAATTATTTTTCCACAAATTTACAATTAAATATTCACCGCGAAAAAATAATGGAAAAAAAAATCCATTGCACTATTGAGAAATCAATTAGAAAGAAAGGAACTTTCTACCCTGGGAAAATTTGCTTGTTCAACAATTATTTTCAATGAGCTGTCAAAGAAAAACAATTAATCACAACTTGTTTTTTTTTTCGATGAAAAATTTTTCAAAAAACCTTAGCAATTACTATTTTAGTATTTTTTTGAGGCGTTTTACTTCGATCTCTTTTTACCCTTTTCCATTTTTGATGCCTTTCTAATGAATATTGATGCCTTTCTAATGAATATAATCATTAAATTTCAAGAAAACACCTCAAAAAAGAGAACTTATAGAATTCACCACATCTATCAACCCTCGGAGAGCCAAATACCGCACCATCACGTTTGCCATGTGAAAGTTCTTTTATTCTATCTTTCATAGCAAATCTACTCTTAATATTTATATATGTGTACGTGTGTATATGTTACGTATGTATGTACGTGCGTGTGTGAATTTGCATGTATGTATGTGTGTGTATGTTTATTGCAGAATGAGAAGCTGAAGTAATCGTTCTGGAAATGCATTAATCTCGGAGCACGCTTTCAAAACTTTTTAATTATAAATTTTTTTGTTTGTTCACTGATGACGTGATTCAACTTTTTAATTATAAATTTTTTTGTTTGTTCACTGATGACGTGATTCAACTTTTTAATTATATATATAATCTAAATACGTCATTTAAACGTCATTCTATAACATCATTTTTTAACGTTCATATAACGTCATTTTCACATTGCACTTAGAAGTATCAATGAGTTCTATCTGAGAGAATATCACATATAACAAACACAATAATGAATTTCATGCTGGCAAGATGCTAATATATGGAAATTTATTTTGAGATTATACAACTTCTAAAAAAAATTCACTTTAAAATATTTATACTTTTTTTGTGGTTATTCACTAATTAATTCCTTATTATACGTTGTTAAAATGGAAAAAAAGGAAGAAAAAGGAAAAATCCCAACCTTTGATATGTCGTCAGTTTTACAATGCTAATATCGAAATAAAGAGGATCAGTATCAATAACGGTATGAAGAAGAACAGACTATACCAAGTGATGATTACATCTGCTTATTAACCTGAAAGTTTAATATATCTACATAAAACAGAGATTTTTAAACAAATAGTACGGGGATTAAGCAGGATTACGTATTCAAACTGTCTCAATATATTTGCTGTTGTGACGTAAGAATCACTCGTGAAATAAATGGTCGCGCAATCGTCATGAACAGTAACACTACCAAACAATAATAAAGTAGAATAAAATAGAAGGGACGAGAAAAATATGATTATTTGGAATGTGCGCAAGAGGCAAAGCAGCGGAAGCGGAAATGACGCAGTCTGAAGTGGCTGAAGATTGATGAAGTATTGCTTTATTATCACTTCTTCGAAATGCTATCCGCTATCAATCGAACAAACGAAATGACTAATTGCACTTCCTCGAAAATAAATTGGCTTTCAGAAGAGGAAAAAATACAACAGATTAAGAAGCCACCTGCCTAAACTTGATCAAGCCTATTCAGGACTTTTTACACCCAATGGACTAGTCTACTGCTCTCTTCAAGAGATGCACGGAAGGAATGAAAGGGTGTAGCCTTCTTCATCGCCTACTTCTAGGCCTATCGATTATTCCATGGAGTTTGCTAGCCTTCCAATCTTAAGCTCACTTTGCCGAAAAAGAGAACGTTGCAAAGTGATAGTATATCATCTAATAGTTCCATAAAAATGAAAACTAACTTTTACGGTTCTTTTTCTTCATCATCTTCTCTCTCCCTCTCTCCTTGTCTCTCTTTCTGTCTTCTTTTTTCTCTACTCCAAAGAGTTAAACTGCTATATGAATTCAAAAACAAACAGTAACAATAACATACCAAGTCTTCTTTAAATGATTAAAAAAGAATGATTTTTATTTGTAAACATTCCTTTTTCAGTTTTTATGAGCTAATTTGATTTAACTTATTTTTTACAAAACAACTTTAAAAAATATATATCTTCAATTGATATCACTGCTATATTTTCGCATTTTAAGGAGGAAAAAATAAAAGAAAAACGAACTATGAAAGTTAATTGACCAATTACATAATTATTAAGTAATATACTATCAGTAAACTTCAACAATCTTCAATTTCTTTAACAAACAAGAATTTAACAAAGAATTTTCAAAAAAATATTTTTTCCACTAATTCAATATTATAACTGTAATGATAAAAGGGAAAGAGATTATTTGCAAAGATGAAATATGTAAATCAAATGGTATTAATTTTTAAGGTTGCATCGTTTTTTTTTTTTCTTTCCATACTGTTGTGGTGTTATTATTATCATTTGTGTTGGAAGATATCTGCAAGATAATTGTACATAAAATAATGAACATAAAATAGATTATCACTAGCATAAATAAGTTGAAACTCTCTATCATAGCTTGGACGATCATTCTTTCTTCTCATTTCTGAAAATTAAATTTAAACCTGATCAGTGAATATATGGCAGAAAGATTTCAGAAGAAAAAAAAAGACTCATTCCTATCAATAGAAAAAAAGAAAACATTCATTCTTTCGTCTTTCATCACAATCGAAATGAAAGTTTTCCCTTGAATTCCTAATCCGTTTAAAATTACCGGAAGACAGCCGACAAACTAATAAGGCAAATAAAGAGAACTCCTCGGAATTATCGAGAATTTCGAAGAATATTCATCATTCTTCCTCATCATATGATCTGAACATTCAACAGCTATCACGTCCCCCCTCCACTTCAACTTCCATGTAAATCAATCAACCATACAATCTTCACCGATCACGTCATGCCTTCCCAACAATCGCTATTTGACTATCAGCCTCATTTAAATTTATTATTTTCATCCGTTCATCAGTTGCAATGAGTTCTGTGTTACATTGCAGTGAATATTTTGAAGAATTTCTTCATTCATTTAAAATTTTTGTTTCATTTAAAATTTTTCCTTTTACAATTTTCGAATCACAAAGTATATTTTTTTTTTTTTGAGTTTATAACGAAAATTTTCTATGGAAATAAAAATAAGCGTCCAGGAAAATTGAGATTTAAAGTTATTTCTGTCTACTTTAATTCTGATAAATGACAAAGTTGGAAAGTTAGTGAAAACTGAGTTAACGCTCAGTATGAAGATAGTAAATTAACATTATTGCTAAAATAATTTCTAGCTTTATATTTTTTTTTTCATGCAGAAGAGAAAACTCAATTTCAGTATCACTGATCGATGTTCACACATGCTCATAGTTACGTTGATAATTTGCTGTGCATAACTGTTGAAAGATTTGCCGAAATATTTATTGATTGAATGAATTGATTTTTTGAAAGAATTCTCGATGTCTTTTCCATCACTTCTCAAACATTTCGGCAGCTTTACCAACAACACAATTTTGCAGTGTCGAGTAAGTGAGTAAGATCTATTATTTCAGATCTGAATTTTATTGATCAAATAAATTCATTTACTTCCGAAAACAGTCTTTCCCTATTTGCTTTTTCTCCATCAAACGTATGTAAGACATAATAAATTTCTATTTGATTAAATACTTTCTTATTCACTGTATTTACTTTTAACTGTTAAATGATTTTTTATCACTTTCATCTTCTCAATCTGCATGAAACTAGTTCATTTGAATGTTGATAGTAAACGCTTTCTCTTGATTCAGTTAATCTGAACTCTTGCTATAGTATATGTTGTTGTTATTGTTGCAGTTTACATGGATTCTACGAAGGGTTTTTGCTCCAGAACCCACACAGCCAGGATGTATGCAACGAAATCCGGCCGAACATCCAGATTTGATGAAATTGGAGATTGTGGAAATTGAGGATTTGAAACCAGCGGGACCTCTAAAAGTTATTTTACTGAAAGATGTTGAAGGTTAATTTTTATGGATTAGATTTATTTGACATTTGAAACTATAACATAGCTACCAAGTGCATTCCAGGAATTGTGATATTTCCATAAAAGGGGGAAATTCATGTATAATATATTATTGATTGTAGTTTTAGAACATGAAAAGGTTTCCAGAATGCACTTGTATTTAGATGTGATGTTTGTTTTCCAGAAGATTTTTGATGGGCGAATTTTATAATTTCACAGCATATTATTACTCTAACACACATAGAAATAAGAAGAAAGTAAACTTGAAGATAGAATTTTTGATTAATGAATTAATGATCCAAGTAATCCGAAATCAGTTTTTGTGGATTTCTGGATTGTCATCCAGTCAGTTTTTTACGACACATTTATAGATGTTTTACTTAGTAATTAAGTAGAAGAAAATCAGATATTGTTTCTGGAATCCTGACTTACAAATTTTAACTTTTAAGGCATCGGTAATCAGTTTGATATTGTTGAAGTGAATCGTCGACTTGCACGAACAAATCTGTTATTGACGCGAAAAGCAGCATATGCTTCACCATTCAATTTGCAGTATTACGGAGAGATGAAGGAGGTTTATCTACTAATCAAAAAGTACAACTGATAGAAAATTTGCAACTCTTTTATTAAGATGAAATAACATCGATTCTACGAAAAAGCAGTGCTTCAAAAATTACGTTTATTGATTCAGAAGAAAAATCCTTCCTTTGAAAGGTCTTTTCGAGTGTCTTATTTTCAGAAAATGAAAGATGAACTGACAAAACGTGTTCGCATTCCATACGATTACATATTGCTCGGAAGAGAATTGATCAAAAAAATTATACCTCTGCGAGTTTCAATGGAAAATCCTTGGTTGTTAGACAAATTGATTGTTAAAGCTTCTTTGCGGCAAGAGGTGCTTTTTCATTATTTTTGGAGAATTGAGGTTTTCCATTTCATTTGCAGTTCAAGATTAACAATCGAACTGACTTATTAATCTTTCATTTATATCACCTTTTTCATCCTATGCTCAATAAACCTCATTATCCCTTAAATATATCAGATCATGCTGAAATATGAGATGGTTGTTTGCACTTTCCATTTTCTTTTCACATCCTTTTTTGTGAAAAGTCGAAGAATTACCTGTATTTATATATCATATTTCAATGTTAATGGCCATTTCAGGGAATTGAAGTTATAGATGATATGATTTTCCTCGAAAATAACAATTTAAGGGGACCAAACATTGAATTGGAAGCCCATTTGCTACGATTTTATGTGGTTGTTTGTAACCAGTATATTATTCCGATGATTGGTCGCATTTGTCACATATCATCAGACGAAAGCAAACAGGTCTATTGTTTTCAAAATGCTTTTTTCAAAGCTTTTTCGAATTTTTTGCGGCTTATTTTCAGTGAATATTCCCTTTGTATTACACTTCATATACTGCTATCGTTCTCGGGCCAGAGATAGAAAGAATGCACTATTGCAGGTACTTTATCCTGAAATAACACGAATGCCAACTAAGGATGATCTCAAAAAGTACAACATAGTTGAAGAGGAACCACATTTTATGGAAAAAGCAGAAATTCTGGAAGATTTTGATGTTGTTGGTATTATGCAAAGGAGACGAAATAGCAAATAAAAATTGCAGATCAATTGCCTGCAGATGGAACTGGCTGCTATATCCTCTGTAACATAAAGGGAAATCTGCATGAAAACAATAATCCTAAAAGTCTTTCATGTAATTGGGTATATGATTAGGCCTCTGGGAATGAAAAGTGATTTATTTGAAAAATCTTAACAAGTAACCATAGAAAAATAATGGAGCAATAGTTGTTTGAAAAATATAATACACAAAAGTACTCAAATAGGAGTCTGGTTATTGCTCCCACAACTAAAAAACGTGAATATAATACCAGTATCAATCGCTTTAAAATTAATGACAAGCATAATCCATCTAAGAAAAGGGAACAAGTTACAAAGAAACTTAAATGATTCCGTAGTTTAACTGAATCATCTTTGTTATAAAAAGGAGGCACTTTTCTTATAAATGGATTCAATATTTAAAAAAGCCTATAAATATTTCAATAACTAAATTTCGGTTTATGAAATCCAAAGATTCAAAAAAATGTCACAATAAAATCAATCTTTTGTATGCAGATTAAATCTTAAACAACCTCCACGGAGATATTCACTAAAAAAAGAGCCGTAAGAAAGGAATTCTTGGAAGAGGACAAAGCAGTGAATAAAACCATAAGAATTAAAGTCAAGTTTGCGAATGTCAATGTTCCTCATTCTCGCAATAATCATTACATATAAAACGGCAAAACAGTCCAACCAATATCAATTAAAGGATAAATGGTAACATTCAAGCATATGTATGCTCAATGTATTAATATCGTCGGCTACGTTCCCTCTCTCGCCATTCATCACGACATCGATTGCGCGGTGACCGGTCGCGTCGACGATCGCGCTTTGCGCTCGGATAGTGTCCTGCTTCATCTGCATAACGACCTCTGCAAAAATTTATCCATAAATTTAACGGAATGAAAGCAGGTTCATGAAAAGTTATTGAATTTTCTCTTGAGCAATGTGTTTCCGTTTCTCTCCTGATAACTACGTAGGATTCGAAACACTTTCCCGTAGATTAATTGATCTCAGAAGTTCGGCCGTGGAACAACTAATAACGACAGGGGTCAATCCTGATTCAGAAGAAAGTCCAAGCCAGAAATAAAGGAGTATAATTAACAACAAAATACCTGCGGCCAAAAAGCCTTTCTCCCAACTCCGGACTGATTGCTTTCAAATGCATAAAATTGCAGAATCCACCTTTATAACATGTGGTCACTTCATGTTGGCGGCAACGCGATTCTCGAAAATCTGTTACTGGTGAAAGCTCCGCGTATATCGGTTGTCCGTTAAACCTGAAATTTTCAGCTTTTTAATTATTTAAAAAAAATGAACCTTGCAAAAGAAAAAGGTGCCAAAACTAGCGGTAAATCAAATGAAGCCCAATAAAAATAGGTAGCACTAAATCACCTAAAAAAATAATTGAAGTAAAGTCACAAAGCAAGAGAGATATTTCTACACCCTAACCAACAACAATTTACCTTTCGTGGGATCGTCTTCGTATGAGAGAATGTATGAAAAATATCTAAATTAGGATTAAGTTAGTGATACTAGAGACTGAATAAGTGTTTATGCTGCTCACTAAATTCTTGAAATTTCATTAAATTTACATATTCCTGGCCGATCCAGAACATAGTACTGCTTTCCGGAGAGAAGACTGCTTAAGAAGTTGCACTTTTGACTACATAATTTGTATTATGGATCTAAATAAAATTGAATCAGATGCAGTATCTAAAAAAATGGTTGGTAAGATTGCTGCTGTAGCAATGAGCCATTTAATTTGGATTCGCCAGGTACCGCTGATAGAGCGACGTTGAGAATCTAAACAAGTTGAGCATCAGTTTTCGATAGGAGAACGGTTAACAAGAGTACACTTATGCAACTCCTCACCCTATTCTGAAATTCAGAAAAAATTTCCATAAACTACTCTACTTTCTTGGTCTCCCTGAAAAAGTGCTCAAAATCCGGATCCAAAAAATAAAAACAAGAGAAAAAAGTTTTTGACGATGCCGCTGACAGAACCTACATGACAACCTGAAACATGCAATGCGGGGGCTTACGAATGTATAACTGTTAGAGGGTAATCACTTCCCTAACTTACCAACGATTTTCAAGATCCTTCACAGCCTTTTCAGCATCTTCTTCTCGCATGAATTTCACATAAACATTACCGATCATATGTTCACCAATATTTTCACAAACATTCATCTCATCTATTTCACCATATTTCTTTTCCAGTTCAGTAAACACCTGGAATATGCCGCTAAATAGCTCCATAAGCATTTCTAAATACTCTAGATAGCTTTAAAATATCAAAAATTGATCTGGCAAAGTTTTTAATCATTAAATAAAAGTAAGTTTTTTTACAACATTCTAAATCGTTACAGATAAAGCTGAAATACTAGTAAAATTTTTAAAATAATATTGTTACTCACTTCTTCATAAAATTCATCAAAATAAGCTTGCTCCTCGTCATTCTTCTTCCCAACTTCTGAAAATAGAGTTCCTCTAAACCACTGTTATGATATATTTTTTTTTTGTAGAAATGACAGACTAACCAAAGTTTTCAAAATAAACATAGAACTAAAACTTACTATCAAAAGCATCTGCCTGACGCACGTCAACAATCGGGTTATGGTAAAAATTCTGAAGCAAAACGGTTGGAGAAAACGTTGGTCGATGATGAGTTCGTGAGCACTTATCACCGTGACGACAAGCGCCGATCTAAAAATATGAAATTTTCAAAAATTCATGACAATTATGAATTTTTTTAATGTTCACAATAATCAAAACCATTAATAAATTCGACTTGAACATGCAAGAAATCACAATATGAGATTTCTAATCGATCTTTATTCTATACATAACATAAACATTAATTTAAGATTGATACCTTAAAGTAGAATGAACAATTAACTTTATCTTTTTCGGTACCATAAATAGAAGCCAAATATTCGGCGCCTGAAAGTCCTTCTGTTTGCTGATAACCATACGATCCCGGACGTCGACCAGCCATCAATCTTTTTGGTTCCTACCTCTCTGTTTAGTTCTGAAATTCGAATTTAGACATTTCCCAATAACTCAATGCCCATTGAGTGTCATGAATGTCGCATCATTTATGCAGAAGTGTACAAAATCATAAATACAAAGTTGTGTAGCTACATGGATTACATCTTTCTTTAAAAATATTCTAACTACTGAATTACTTGCGAAGTAATTCAGTTAATCCTTTCTTTGCAAAGGCGTCAATAACAAACACATATGGATAATCCTCTCGCCTCACACCAAATAAACGGCAGTTACACGTACTTACTCCACCCTCACGTCACAGATGACCTCCTCACCCCTCGATTACGTCCAATAAAAACGGTTACGCACAAAGTACAACATCCAGAAAAAAACATTACAGTACTCTAACTTCGTGTTGAAACCTCAATTTCTGAAGAAGCTGAATGACAAGCCTTATTGATGCCGCCAAAATGTTAATGAAGTGCGACTGTTACGCTCTTTGCGGTTCCAATACATTTTCATTTGCATGAACATCGAAAATGATGGGTGAAGCTGGCAGTTTTACTGCTGATAATATCATCAAATGTCGAGATTATCACAGTTGTGTTCATGTAATTACTCATGACCTTATACGTTAACCATGACCTTATACAAATGACCTTATACGTGCGTGTTAACTATCTGGAATCAAAGGTCAAGGGGAATTGGAAACCGAATAATTGATTAAGTTGAGTGATAACTAGCCAGATATTTTATATTAGCCACATATACGAGCACATACGGTGTGTGCCGTACTATAGTTACTTCTCAAATAGTAAATGAGCAGGATATATAAAAGCGCAAGTATTGTGAGTTGTTGTGTGATGTTGGATTCACTGTCTGTAAAAGTGTTAACCTATCAGGTGATGGCATAGGCCTCCCACTAACTCATGGTATTGATTTGTTAGCAGAGGTGATGTAATGCCTGTACCGAGTTCATCGCGCTTCCTCAGATTCGCTTGGAAGTGACACATTATTCATTGAAGGAGTAGAAGAACTGTACGACATTGTTGACAGTTCTTTTCCTTCGATAACAGTGTCTCTTCCCTCAGAATAAGCAAACGATGTAAGCTGATCTGCAAAAGTCACGATGTCCTATGTGTTCCAGCGGGAAGTTCCAGTATCCACCAAAATAGTGATACTTCCCGCTTCACTCTTGTAGTATTGTAGTACCTCTACCTTTTTCCTTCCTTGATAGGTTATCGTCTTGCACCCGTTGTCAGCCTTTGTGTAGAGCAGTGATAGTTTGGATGCCTTCTTCCTCCCTCCTCACTCTAAGGCTATGTATCGGCAGAGGGATGGATACCTCTCATGTCTGTACGACGTTATGTTTAAACTAGTCCTGCTCTCGCTTCCCTTTCGTTTGTTCAGGGCCTCACATTGATAGTTGTATGTTTTTTCTCTCTTCCTACAGTATTTAGAAAATACCTTACCTCAACTGTCCTTCTTCTCTATGGTGGGTGTATAGGTGCTGCATGTTTACTGAGGTATGTCTTCCTCTCTCTCTACCATCATCATTCAAACAAATAAATATCTTATGACTTTGGCGTTGAATATTTTTATCTTCACTTTCCATTTGTTGAAATTAAGTATTTTGCAGGTTAAGGTCGATCGGGGAGGAGGCGTTTGTTTAGATGGATTTTGCAAGTTTTGCTGCAGCTGCTTTACGCAGTTCAACAGTTCTGCCATCCGAATCGTTCGATAGCTATTGGATAACTAACGCTCCTGTTCAATTCGGGTTGAAGTAAGTTTCAGAAGATTAATATCTTTAGATGATGTGATGGAAGTTCATCATTACAGTGTGTTTCAAGTGATATTTACTTTCTTTCCCGTACTTTTTTAAAAAATTTGATGGGATACTCAAGTGCTTTGAGGAAGTGGTTAATCAAATAAGCAGGTATGGTTTAAATAAAGAAAGTGTAGTATTTAAAGTGTACTTGAGTACGTCTTGATAATGAGAGATTTGTGTATCTCTTTCTTAAATTCAATCCAATTTAGTATAAGAAAATAAAATTAAATCGTGATAGATCTTTTAGGGGTGTAAAATGTACGTTCCGTTTCGAAACATCATTTGCAGATGCTGAAGATGAAGCTGGTATATTGGTAAGTTTGTAACATTTTATCTGACTGGATTTGTATGAGAAGTTGAACTTATTATCAAGTTAATGAAAATTGTAGTCTAAATCAGTGTTATTTCCATTTCTTTTTAAAACACTAGAATTTTTGAGGATGACATTATTATAGATATATTTTGCATTTTTGAAATCAGACTGTTTAGTATCACAAACTGGGACTTTTTAATTGATTTTGGTAGAAATTTATATAGTGTATCTGATACTTCACAGGTAAATGGTGATAATCGTCACACAGTATATATTCTTTGGATTTCGTCATGTGAAGATCCTTCATTGTTGTACTCTTGTCGAATGGATTCAAAAATCGATAAAGTTGCACTTCGTTATGGACAACGTACACCGTCGATCCTGAAAAGTATGATTGAGGGGGCAAATATGCCATCGGATGATCCAAGATTGTAAGATTTCAGTTCAAGCTAACTGTAAATTTGAAAGTCTGGTTTGGATGTTCACATTTTTTAGTACAATGATCAATTTGTTTTTAAGTTAATTCTAAATTTGGAACTATGTATTAATGTTAAGATTTTTTAGCACAATGATTAATTTGATTGGTGAGCAAGAAATGGGTCTATTCATCCGACTTTGTGTTGCTCCTGGTGATGGTCCATCAGCATTACGGCTCGCCTTACGCACTCCATCTGCAGCGGAATGGAAAAGTCACTTGTTAATGTTCATTCAAAATTTACAGGTATGCTATTTTTAGTGAAGCAAATCAAACTGAATTGAAATTCATCAAATTTAGCAATTTAGCATATGTAATATAGCTAAGAACAGTTCTAGTTCATGAAGGGATCAAAAAATTTTTTATTGGCTAATGATGTCGTATTTTGCATTACTAGTTTCTTTGTTTAATGCATCTCGTGCTTTTTTAGTTTAACAATGATTCTAGCGATTTTTTTTTGAAAGAAGCTTAAAATAAGAACGTTATATAATAGAGTGTTTATTATTTGTCGGCTGTTATTTCATGAAGTACATCACAGGATTTTGAGTATTAATGGGACTTGGCGTAATAAATCAAAAATTCCTTACTTGAACAACTTTTTATTAGGATGTGGTGCTATTTTGTTTTTATATTAGTTTCTGCAGGCCCTTTTTTTGCTTTCTTGATTGTTCAGCAGCGATAATTGCAGCTTTTTGAAAAGCTTAAAAGTGATGATTATCACCACACTTATTCCATCAGCTTTATTTCTAGTCCACAACAAGTATGTGAACTTTGTTCACATTTCATATGTAAATCTTTCATGATGCTTTTTCTCATGAATATTATAGCACTTTTTTGAGATTTGTAGAATGATTTATGGAAAGAACGGTGGCAGCGTGAATTATTGGAAAAGGATGCGTTGAGTATGAAAACTCAAATAGCACAAGTAAGTTATGTTTCAGTATCACTTTTTTGTTGTAACCAAATTTGTTGCAAACATTGAGTTTATATTGTTCTGGAATTTGATAAATTATGCTGGAATTCTAAGATGGTTAAAACACATAGAATCTTTTTTTTCTTCCGTTCCCATGGAGATATTCTGTGGACTAAATTGTCTCTTGTTGCAATCAAAATTGGAAAAAAAAGTAATTTATTTTTCTTTTCATTCATTCTAAATTATCTTTAGCATTATCCCGGGACGTTCTTTACCAAAAATGTGCGGGGATAATGCTAAAGAAAAAATTTTCATATCACGTGATTTAATTTTGCCCAATCTTATAGATGGAAAGGAAACGTGGTTGGCTTGAAAAAGAGTTAGAAATGCTGTATGCAGTGATGCAGCAGCAAAATCCCATTCAACCGCTGAAAATTACAAATGAGGCTGAGAGTCCCGTATCCAAAAGAGAGGAACCGTTACTTCAACCAGTGCCAACTGCTTCAACAGTACAAATTATTGATGCACAGGAATCACCCAAGTTTAATATCAATGATGTGCCATCAAAACGAAGTCCTCTGTCCTCTTCACTAACCTCTTCTATGCCCCTTAAATCTAATCCCGTATGTTTAAAGTTACTAGTTCTGCTTCAAATGACATTTGCCAGTTGTTGAAGATGTTTTCATTTTCTCAATTTTTACTTCTCGTTAGTCAAAGATTGTTAAATTGTAAAGCAGACAATTCCAGTACGTTTAAAAAAAAGGTAATGGAATTGCCTTTTTTCTTGACAGAAGTAATAGTGAACATAGTGAAATCATACGAGATTTGTAAAGGTAAAGGCAAAATTTCTAATCTTTATCTGACTCTTGAATATAAAGTCTGAAATTCATTTTCAATATCTCGGTCTTTTTCTTACTCTTTCTGATATATTGGAAAAATCATTTCTATTGGAAAAATTATTTCCAATATCTCAGAAAGAAAAAGAAAGAGAAAGATATCTCAGAAAATAAATAGTCTATATTGACTATGTTTATTTATTTTTTGTTTTCTGTATGAAGTGAAGTTTCATGAATATTTAAGAATTTCAAAAAAAAGCGAACAATTCGGAACAAAGATGCATTAGCCAATGATGACTTGTTGATGGGTGTTGCTTCACTTCTCTCGTGTGCAGTATGTCCGGATGAAGTAACACTACAAGATCAGGATGGAATAAAGGAACATTTCATAAATCAACACCTAGACGGTGGTAAATTTGTATTCTTTAAAGTATAAAAATTTTTGTGTTTAATTTCCTTGGTGAAATTGAAATGGTAGAAAAATGTCTTTATTGTCCTAGAGCGAAGTTTAATGAGGGAAAGGAAGAAAAAGGGGGATCAACTGATTATTATGACAGATCCAATCTGATTGATTTCGTCACTCTTACCATAAAGCAGAAAAGTTTGGTCTGTGATATGCCTTGCGTGTTTAACCGTAATTTCGGTTCTCAATTTTAGAGCATGGTCGTTGTCGAGCTTGTACAGAAGAGGTCAAAAGTAGTGATATGCTGAGTCATATGAAAGCGCATCTGGTTAAAAAGTATGCTTGTGAATTTTGTGGCAAGAAAGGAAGGAAGCATTATTTGAAGGCACATATTCGTGTTCATACTGGAGAAAGACCGTATAAAGTTTGTTTTCGGTACTTTATGATTAATAGATCCATTTCTTGGTTGACTAGTACAGTCCATCTTCTGATCTGTTATGATGAATTACTTATAAAACATGAGGAGAATCTGAGACTGTCGAGTTGCTTTGAACAAGCAGAGATGGATTAGCATAGTAAGTAGCTTAATGAATACTTTTAAAAAGTCTCTTCTCTGTTAAATGTTTAGAAGATAATTATTCCTTAGTTGTTCACAAATTTGTCATCAGAATAGAAGAGAGATAATGCAGAAGTTTGAAAACGGATGGTGCATTTATATAGAAGTATCCCGATGATGGTTTAATTCGTACACAAAATAAAAAATACTTTCTTATAGAAAATATAACTGTTGTGCATTAATTTGTCTAAACGATTTTACAGTATTCTTTGTAAATGATTTGGTTTTCTTACACCGTTCGTGTAAGTCAATCTTATTATTTATTTTTATAAGAGTATGAATTTGAAATGGACTATCTATAATCTTTTAAACGATGCGACTTCCTTTTCTTGTATATATTTATTATGCACCATCTATATTTAATAATGAAACGTGTCGTTGATTTCTTCAATTATTTTACATCAAAATTTCACTTATATCTTCGAAAAATAATTTTTACTCTTTTAAATTATTTTTCTAATTTGTAGTGCGACAAATGTCCACGTCGTTTTGCGGACTCATCCACATTTCGCCGACACCAATTGATTCATACAGGTGAAAAACGATATTCATGTCCGGTATGTGGACGATGTATAGCTCGAAAAGATAATGTCAAGACACACTTAAGGAGTCATGTAAAGTAAGTTTCTGGAATAGCATTGTACAAATTCAGTGGTGTAATGTAAGCTGATTTTTTTTTTTTGGAATTTTGAGATTTTGCAATATTAAATGATAGGCCAGTAAAAGAATGTGCAAAATATTGATACGCTAGCTTTTTTGGGAAGCCAGTTTAGATTTTTGCAATTTATTAACGTTCTACAGAAATAACAACTGACATCTTTATATTGGAATTCCACAATTGTTTGTCGGAAAAAGTTTTTCGAAAGTTATTTGAGTCTTGTTTCTTACTCTAGGACCATTTCGAACAGTGAAAGTGAAGCAGCCGCTTGGATGGAAACCCTCCTAAATTCGTTGTCCACTAAAATGGAAAGGAATACAGTAACTGTACCACCGCTAGATTCGCCAACTTCTGTGGAAAATAATGAAGATCAAAATTTATTAGGTGACTTCAATTTGTTGGAATCTCTAAAAGAGGATGAGGAAATGAGTGACAAGTGCTAATAATTGAAATCCTATATTCTTAAGAACTATTGAATCAAATATATTATTTTTGGGGGCTTAGAAAATAGGCTGGACCTAATATTTATCTTTGACGACTGAGATAAAGGGCTGTTATCAGCGGCAGCTTGGTTTAATCAAAAAAATTAATCAGTTATCAATTCAGTGTCTTTGATAGATATATGATTCGTTACTGGTTTTATAAATTTCAAATACTTTTTGATTCTTCAGTTAATAAATAGGTAGTAATCTAGAAGTGGAAATCATTTTTCGTTCTCTAGTTAGATTGACTGAATTTGTGTTATTGGAATTTTACTGTTATTGCGGACGTATTGTCTTTTTGGTTTGCTCATCTTTTTCGGGATGTAAATGTCCCGACCTCTTTCTCACTGTCTGAACCGCGATATTAACCAATATGGAAACTGGATACCACTCTGATACGTAAGTACAGTTGTTTGTTGTCGTCTCTCCGTTGTTTGCTGTCGTCTATCCGTTTGCTGTCTTACATTAGAAAACGTATTTTGTATACCATAGGTAGAAGAGCAACTTCTGTTATCCACACATGGATATTTCTTCAGTTTTTTCTTTTTCTTTTTTTTTGAATTTAACTGCCTTTTCTATTTTTGCCTTGTTTAATTTTGATTGTGCATTATGAGCATATGTCTTTATATAATAGATAATGTTTATTTCTTCAATCGTTTGTAGATAGATACTTCTATTATATTTTTAGCTCATAAAGTGTACTTAATTTCATTTTTGCACTTATTCTTTTCAGTTATTATCATTTGAAAGCTCTCAGATTTATCGCCTTGAACAATTTTCAAGTGCAAATTATACTGATTTTCGATTTTTTAGGTCGTTCCTACTTTATCTTTTTTGTGAAGTTTACTGTTACTGTTAGTTTATAATAGAGTTTTTTTATCTTTCGATTGAATGAAAATGTCATTAATAAAGGACAACTGCGGAAATGAAGAGAGGAAGCAAACGCTGGGAAAAAACATTTAGGATTACTTCCTGCTTTCCTCATTTTATAAGCAGAAATGGGTCAAAATTTTTGAACTTCACAAATTTTTCTGAGATTCATGGACTTAATTACTGCAAAAGTCTTCTACTTTTTATACCATTCGTTATTGTGCTTCATATAAATTTATTAATTTGTTTAGCACACTGTCCAAAAATCATGTGGATCTGGCTGGGTTATGAATGCCTTCATATAGACATATTTTTCCTCAAATATATTTTTTCATATTCAGTATATATGGTGGTGCTATCAAATGCCTTGTATTATCATCAAAACATGCCTATTTTTTCGTATGTCTTCGTGTAAACACTATAAAAATGATTCAGCCTTGTATTTGTTTATTGGAGGTGTTGTTTATTCATTTTGTTTTCCATTTGGAGGTTGTTTTGAGCAAAGTTTTTCTCAGTCATTCTTTGTATTGTGCTTTATCGTTTTTTAATCACTCAATTTGTTAGCACTTAATCAAAGTTTGTTTTATGGAGCATATATACTTTTTAAATATAATTTTCTTGATTTTGATTTTTATAATTTTCTTTTTAATTCAAGGCACATATCTAGCCGCATCAATACTTGCTCACATATTTTAAATGAAAATCTGGTTATTTTCGAAGATTGTTTGCAGCAGTTCCATCTTGTCGGAGTTAAGTGGAGCGGCAGAATCGTAAAGTATCAATTAAACAAAGACTTGAGATTTGTAGATATTTTTGGGAAGTGCTGATGGATTTGTTAAGTATAAAGCAAATAATAACAGAAATAGCATCAGTGAAATTTGGGATTGCGTTCAGTTACTTATTATGGACTTGATTTGTTCTTTTAATTGTAAAGGTCAGTGTAATTTCGCTTAACAGGCGTTGAGAGGGACACTTAGGCTTTCCTTATTTTGTAAGTAGAAATGGGCGAAAGTTTTTTAAGTTCGCACATTTTTCTGAGATTCATGGACTTAATCGTTTTCGGTGAAAAAAAAACTATTTATTTGGAAGTTGAATTGCAGGAAGTTTTACCTAGCGCAGGGGTTTCATGAAATGGATGCGAATTTGGACTTATCACAAATCGCTGATTTACCACACCAAAACATGGCTATAGTATTGCTCACCGAGTTGATGTACGTCCTGTCTTTTTCTGCGGTTTTTTGCAGATATCTTAAGTGGTCTGGAACTTGGAAACAATTGAAGAAGTTTTGGTTTTTTGAAGTGAATCTTAAAATTTTTCGTTGATAAAAGCTTATATTAAGATATATTCTCCACTTAGTGGTCAGTATTCATCAACTACGTTTGATGAATGATTTATTTTCAGAAATGCTTTTTCAGTAAAATAATGCATCTCAAAAGAAATTAGAAATGTCTTGTTTCATATAATATTAAATGCAGAAAATTACTACAGAAAAAGAGGAGAATTTGCGTAAATTAAGACAAAGACCTTTTCTTACGGCTTCGGTACTTTATGTTGATTGATTGTTGATGACTGTAAGTGTTACTTTTTTATAATTGTAAAAAAATTACTACTCTGTAAATTCACATGTTTTTTAACTCTCTAAAATGATTTGAAAATTTTCTGCTCAACTTTTTTTTCCAAATTAGTTATCTCATTTTGTAACAGAAATTTCCAAAATGGACTCATTGCATGTCTTGAGGAAGTGGATACATGTTATTCAACACAACTTACGACAACAGTTAATAAAATGGTAATTATATTTTAGCACGGGGAGTTTTGAAAAAAAAATTAAGGTTGAAATATAGGGAATTAATGTATAGAAGGGATTTTTTCATTCCTTTGACTTATTTTTACTGGGAGAAGTTGACATTTTTGCATTGAAAATCCGCTTTGAGGATAAGAAAATTGACCATTGATTTGCTAGACAAAATGATGATTTGCAGCTCGACAAAATGCATGAATATTCTCGACGTCTTCATGCACTAAATCGTGACATTTTGGAATTAACGAAACGAGTGCGACTGATGGTATCACGAGTGCAAATATTAGGAAAGGGAAGCATGAAACAATGGTGATGTGTTAATTTCTCATCGATACAAATTTTGAAATTTTTCATGCCACTTTTTATGTATTTTCTTTAAATTTATCGTGATTAAGGAGTCCTCGTGTATTATTATATTGTGTGTTTTCGAATTTTCGAGTTCCTTATCTAAATAATATGCGTGAAATTTGATAGTTTATATGTATTATTTAGTGACGTGGATGATGATGATGAGAAAGGTTTTTCATATATTCGACTTAATGCTTGATTTCCCTTCTCTTCTTCATTTCTCTTAAGTTCATTCGAATTATTATTATTTTTTTTGCATTTAGTGAAGCCAAGTTTTAATTCCTTTCTAAAAGAAAGCTGTATGTCGAAGTCTCTCAGTATTTGTATTTTTTCCTTTCTGTTAATACTTTGTTTTATTTTTACAACGATTCTTTTAAATGTTAGATTTCTTGTTATCATTAAGGCTTTCATTTCTTGTTTAATTACTAGAAGACTTAAAAAGTCCGTAGTCCGGAGGGAAATTTGAAAATTCCAGTTTGATTTTATTTTTGATTATTTACAAAACTGTCTGGGATTCTATTCAATTCGTTTCTCTTCCTATTTTTGCCTCTTTCAAAGGCAAATAATCATATTATTGTTATAGCAATAAAATTTGAATTTTTGTGTATTTCTTTGCGATTCTAACTCTATAAATGCTGCAGTAAATCCCTTTCATCATTGTATTCCAATAGGATTTTACATGAATATATTATGGTACATCTCTAAAAATATACTCCTTTGATTATCCAAAATTTACACAAAAATTGAAATGTTAAATGTGCTACAGTTAGGCGATCTTTAATATAACATTTGTTTAGTGTGTATCATGATCAAGCCAAGTATTGATTGAATTGAAAATTGAATTCCACCCTCATTACTGCATAATTCATTCTCGAGTCGCTGACGACTAAATTCGGAAACCAAAAATTTTCCTCTTTAACTAGATTTACACATCCAAATAACCCTGTATGAGGAAAGAATCTATTCATTTAGCGAAAATTTCATTTATAAGGTCATATATTTGCTTTAATAAACAAAATAAAATCAGTTGATCGATTTTGGATAGTTCGAAGAGTAATCTCTCGATGTGTTCACTTGTTGACATTAGGATAAAATAAAATTAGAAGATGCAGCAGCAGTGCAGTGAAGTTGTGCATGCTATGCTGCAATAATACTTACTTCATCGATAACCACCAACATTGTGATGATGTTGCTGAACATCTATCAATCTGTTAAAATTCTCTCAATACCTGCCACCTGAGAAAGATGAGAAAAAGAGAGAGGAAAGAATGAATCAAATGATGTGCCAATACACATACATTTCACATTTGAATTATACTGCGAAAGTTGTGTGTGTGTGTGCTGTAATGGAGGAGTAAATACTGACAGAGACCGATAACAAGAGAGGAGGGACAGACAAAAGTGAATTGTGAAATGATCGACAAAACCATCCCTCCACCTCTATCTTCTCTTCTTCCCACAAATTTCCAACAACCAACAACTAAAACTGTACATTAAAAAGAATCGGCCGAATATCATTTTTTTTTTCTCTCTTCCCTCTCTCTCTCTCTCTCTTCCTCTCTGTCGAAATCTGCGAAATTCACTGAAGAGAAAAAAAAAAGCTACTTTTATTATTACCTCCACATTTTGTATTCACAAATAAAAACGACGAAGGCGACCGAACGAAAGACGCACATCCAACGACATCATTCTACCGCGTTATCACCTGTTATCATTGTACTATCAGTTATTCATTATCATTTTTTCTATTGTCAATATCACTAATATTGATACCATAAATTTTTGCGAACCTACTAAAAAAAAATCTTCATCTAGTAAAACAAGGTAATTTTTCATTTCAGTCGTAGCATTTTTTTTCGTTGTTTATTATTATCATTGTTATTTTTGTTATTATTTTATTGCTACTATTATCATTATCATTATTATTATTATTA